AGAGAAAACTGATTGTTTACAGCAGAAGAAATGTTCCATATCTGAACGAGGCATTCATTGTTATCGATAGCAAGTTTTGTTATGCGTAACTGCTTTTCTTATCCATACGAGTTTTTTGGTTATCCCTAACGGTTTCAGAATTCTCGGTCATTTGTATAACATTCTTGGTTATGACATCGTTATGTACATAACTGTCGTAACGGCTTAGGCTATCCAGTCGTATTACATTCGTTGTGTCATCCATAACAGCTTCCGTTATTCTTAACTTGCTGTTGTGCATAACAGATTGTTTACAGCAAGTTTGAGTACGATGGAGCGCTCAATCCGGCTTTCGAACCAGGGCCATTTGAAATTGCGTTGGAAAGCATCCAAGCTTACCTAAAACAGCCAGTGACATCAAGGTAAGAAATTTGCCCGCAGGGACCCGGCATTGTGGCTCAACGCCATCAACGGTAGACACAGTTGGCTGAGCCACACAGTTAGCTGTTGATAACTTGATAATAAACATATCAAGGTTAGGGAGCTTAGATCATGGTTTCAACTTTCAAGTCCTGATGGATGCCAATCATGCCATAATAATGTCAGGGAGCTTAGGGGTGGACCTAACCTAACCCAGTTCAGAACAAAAAAAAAAAAAAAAAAACAGAAAGTCTTTCTTTCACAGGCGGTCTCCGTTTTGATGTATGCTGTGCTTGCTTTCGCCCTTTTGAACGTTTTTTTTTTTTTTCTTTTTTTTTTTATACAGTTTTTGTTGATTCTTTGGCTTCTTGTAGGTATGGGAATGTGTGAGTTGCAGTAATGGTGCCTGACCGTTTTGTTGCTCTGCAGGTTTTTTTTTTTTTTTTTTTTTGGTTTTTTTTTTTTTTTTTCCCCTGCAGTGATGTGACACTGGTGTGCTGCTAAATGATGGGGTCCTAGTCGAGGCTGTTGGACTGAAGCACACGCCCCAGAGACCTATGTTCAGTCCTGGAAAGCATGAACTCGGGCGTAATAGTGTTTAGGTTCGTGCTTTCCTCACATGGACATAGTCCCAGTAGGGCCTGCCTGGCCCTATCCTCACCCTAGGGAGCCTGCCAACTCTAGAAGAGTGAGGGTGTCAAACCTTTGGCTTGAACCAGGTTATGTCTCCATAGTTCTCATCGAACCTGTGGGCTGAATTTCTTTTTCTTTCTCTTTTTTTTCTTTGGATGTTTTGGGCCGATTTATTGCAGGTTTGTGCATGTCGGTTCTTGTGGTGTGACAAGGCCGGGTCGCCCGGATCTGGAGCCTGAGAAAGTTATTCCAGCACTTCGGCTTAACGAAGCACTTGGAGGACTCTTGACGTACAAACTGAAGGTACGTTCTGCAACAGGTCAACAGTATATATTATATACTATACTATATACTATACTATATAGTGCATAGTAAACTGTATACTATATACTATGTACTATAGAGTGGTTGTTGAGGAACTGAAACTTTGGACCATAGAGAATACACTGTCACTACAGCTTATCTCTCTATATATAGGGAGTTATATAAGTCTTATGCTAGTTTATAACTTTATAGTCTATTTAGTATTTATAGATTATCTATAGGTTATATGGACTACGGTTCAGCCTGCTGATGAGTCCGTGAAACTCTGATGAAACAATCTGGACAGCTCCTCGTTGGTTGTCCTCTTCTCCCTCTCTGCCTATGGTTTCACAGGGCAGCTCTCTATGACGAATATAGTTCATGCCAGTCTTTATCCCTACACTTATAGAATCGCTAACGTGAGAATTGGGCAATCTGGGCCGCTCATTGTCCTACCGGCTGGACGGTCCGTATTTTCTCGCAATCTTAAGACTTTAAGATCGCGCGACGATCCAGGCTGCCTGCGGTCCTACCGGACCGATGGCTCAGATCATCCCCTGATTAAGGCTTTAAGATCGCACGACGATCCAGGCCGTATGCCAGGTCCGATGGTCTGGATTGTCGCGGGATCTTGATGTCTTAAGATCCCACGATGACCTGAACCGGCGAGCCGCCCGACGGTCCGGCGAACCGCCCGACGGTCCGGATCAACTCACCTGTTGGGAAGAGGATCTGTACGGGCTGGTAGGTAGTTGAAAAAAAAAACACCAGGCCCTACGCCAGTGCCTGTTGGGCATTGGCCCGCTGACGGCCCGTTGAGTTCAGCGCCTGGCCATTGTAATGACCTGCCAAACACGGACAGAGACACACAGCTGATTTCTGAGTTTTCCTCATGGAATGAATGCCTTGCTGAGTTTCCCGCTCGTTGCTGAGTTCTCTAAGTCTGTGTGTGTGCATGCTTGCTGGTCTGCATGCCTGTCTGAGTGCTTGTCGGCTTGAGTGTGTGTGTGACCCGCAAGGGAACTTGTTCGTTCAGAGGGCCTGAAGGGCCGGTACTTACCTGCGGTCGTGACATTGAGGGTTGCAGCGGGGAAAACACTCAAGTGGCAGGGAAAGAGTCCCGCGACACTTGAAGCAGCGGAAAACACTCAAGTAGCAGGTAGGCCGGTACCACACCAGGTAGAGGTAGATGTGCCGGGTACTCGAGGCCGAGCAGAAAAAGACAAAAGTTGGCAATTTTAGAGGCCCAGCATTTGTAAGCGAGGTCTAGGCGGGTACAGGTCCAACCAGTCTGAGTCTAGGGCCTGTACGGGCAATATCAGAGTCGGCAATGATGTTTCCCTCCGAAAGGGAGGAGGTAGCGGTTGGTTGGAGGCCGCGCGACCTAGGAAGTCACTCACCAACAGGCAAGCAGGCGGCTATATCTCCAGGAGGAGCCAGTTGCTCCTCCTCATTGTCAGTGTGCAAGTTTGGCAACACACTGGTTGGAGCACTGGCTGGAGCAGCGCTGCTGGGGAGGGAGCAAGGACACGGAGGAGGAAGAAGACCAGGACTAGGAAGGGGGACCACCAGAGGTACTTACCTGGCTATCGTGGTTGCCATCTTCATCACCTTGGTGGGCGCTGCAGCAGGAAGGCCCCAGTTGGGTTAGAGCTACACCAAGAAGCTTTGAGGCAGAGTCAGGCAAGGCGCCCTGAGCTAGTGCAGCCATAGCTGCTTTGTGTTGTCCTTTGGACAGCAGGGCAATGCCTGGTAGTCCGCCATAGCCTCAGCCTTGGAGGAAGGAGGAAGAAGGGCGGCCATGGCAATGGTGGACGTCATGTGATACCTGCATTAGAAGTGGGATTCGTACATTGATTCTGGTTCAGCCATTCAACATTGTTATTATTATTTCTTGTTTGAATAAGACAGGAAGAGAGGGGAAGAGATAAGGAGGAGGAGAGTGGTTGGTGAAGACGAAGAGCATTATCATTGGTCTATGCTGGTGTACATCATCTTCTTCTTCTTTCTTTCTTCTTCTTCTTCTTCTTCTTCTTCTTCTTCTTCTTCTTCTTCTTCTTCTTCTTCTTCTTCTTCTTCTTCTGCTGCTGCTGCTGCTTCTTCTTCTTCTTCTTCTTCTTCTTTCCCTCTCTCTCCTCTCAAGTTCATTCATTTCTTTTTGCAATTGGACGGCATTGTACTTTCTGATGAATGTACACTTCTTCTTCTTTCTTACTTCTTCTTCTTCTTCTTTCCCTCTCTCTCCTCTCAAGTTCATTCATTTCTTTTTGCAATTGGACGGCATTGTACTTTCTGATGAATGTGTACTTCGAAATCGGTCAGGAGTCCAGGACCATAACGTTGGTATCAGAATTCCAACAAAATCACCCAAATTCTGCAAATTGCTACAAAATCTGACAAATCTGAAAACTCTGATGAATTCTGACAAGCTCGGGAAATTCTGACACATTCTGACAAACAAGCGCTTTTAGAATTTTTGGATGCATAGGTTAATCCTGCAAGCAGTGCAATAGGCATTTGGATGATTTGATGATTTGGATGAGTTGGATGATTTGGGGATGTAGTCATTTTCTTGCTTTTGTATGATGTTTTACGCCTAAGTGTTGTGCTTTTTTTTTATGTGCCTCTGTTTTGTTTCTTTTGCAGGGGGAAGATGCAGTTCGAGCTAGCGGTATTCCGTACACAATAGTTCGACCTGTAGCCTTGACGAATGAGCCCGGTGGAGCAGTATTAGCCGTCGATCAGGGCGACAACATCATTGTAATCTACGCAATCTCAAAATAGTTGAAAATACTGTCCTGGATGAATGTGACTGCCGCCCAAGGGCGGATTCCATGAAGATTTCAAAATACTTTCCTGGATGGTTTTGACTGCAATTACGCCCAGATTCAATCACAAATGCCCTTGTGTGGATACCATTCTTCGCCTCAATATCTGTCTATGCTCACTGAACCACTGAGAAATTTTGAATGATCGGCTGGAATTATTACAATACAAAATAACTGAGAAAAATCTGGGCAAAATCAGAGAAACTGGAACATAGTTTGAAAACGTTCCTTGCTTTCTTTTCTTTTTCTTTTTCTTTTTCTTTTTCTTTTTCTTTTTCTTTTTCTTTGTCTTTACTGTCATATGTCAGCGCAGTTGCCGATGCACAGTTGTCCTCTTCTTTTCCAATTGTACCCCCCACCTTCCCCTCCCCTCCTCTCCTCAGAGAGGGTTCAAGAGAGAGAGAGGAAGCGGGGGTGGGGGAAAGAGTAGTAGTAAGGTTGTGTGATACAAGCAGGGAGAGAGAGGAGAGTTACACACCTGAATGATGCTGCTGGAAGATGCGCTGTGGGGGAAAGAGTAGTAGTAAGGTTGTGTGATACAAGCAGGGAGAGAGAGGAGAGTTACACACCTGAATGATGCTGCTGGAAGATGTGCTGATTAGCGCTTGGTGACTCAAACTCCGAATCTGTATGATATGTCGATGCGCCGATGAGCGCTTGAGTGATTCGAACTCCGAATCTGCATGATACGTTGGCGCGCGGTTGATCGCTTGGTGTTCTGAAGTCTGGCACTATATAACATGATCTTTCATTGGAGTTTGTGAGCTGTGCTAGTCTGGACTCTCCATCTCGGGACTTCAGAGTGAACTTTTTGTGAATTCTCTTTGTGTATATATCTGGAGTGACGATATAAGCGGTTCATTGCAAGGGCATGCGTGTGCTAGAAAATATATTCTCTGTTTTCTGAATGCATCTTTGCACAGAAAGAGTCGTAACGAACCCGATGTGGAGAACCTCACAGTTTCCACACTATGCATGTACTCCGATTGCACAATGACTGACAGCAACTCTCAAGGAGCAATAGGCGAAAATGTAGGCAAAGGAGGAGAAGAATAGGAGAGGACGGATTCTTCCACTAATACTCGGTGTGTAGCACTGTGCACAATATCGCAGCTCTTCCACTGCCATTCAACCTCCAGGCTTCCTCCTTCACTGCTTACCGCCTAACTGTCACCAACCTAACCCTCTAAAGATGATGAAGCCAATGCAACTCCACATCTGCAGGGGAATACTCTAAGACTTCCCTATTGCCAGTATTCCCGGATAACATGTCTTGCAGTACACACTCTCCACCTATTCACGAGAATGCTGGGGAGCATCAGGAGAACCTGGAGAAGGCTACTCTTCTTTTTCAGTTTTTTGTTTTTTATTTTTTTTGAAAGCTTTTTCGATGTAGCTCTAATTTCTTCATTGTTTTCCTTGTTTGTTTGCTTGGTCTTTCCTGGTGGGGATTTGCAGGGGAAAATATCGAGAAATGATGTCGCTGATCTGTGTATTGCATGCCTGTCTGAGCCGGCTGCCGTTGACAAAACTTTTGAGGTGAGAGCACCATTACTTGACCTCTGCTAAATACAATCGCAATTTTTGTAATTCTTTTCCGCTTTCCTTAGATGCCAAACACTGCATGAGTTGAGATGAGCATGGCGGTTTGATGCTATACGGCATCGCCCTTTCAAATCAAGTGCAGAGACATTTGGACAGCAATCCTTTCAGTGGTCGCTCACCCAGTCATTGCTATCGCTTCAGGGTGAGGACAGGAAGCCAGAAGGATGGATTGTATGGGG